TGTTTTAAACTTAATTATTACAAATAACTAATTATTGCAAAAACATGGTCCATGGCTTCGCATTCCATGTATTACTATGCCTTGAATTGTGTTGCGATGATTTTATGTTATTTATCATAGTGAACACTTAGTCCATATTATTAATGGCATTTCTTATGTGTCTTAAATTATTAATAGACAATTCTTCTCTAAGGTGTTTTGCTAGATATTCTAACTTGACTACCTTAGCTTCACATTGTTGATAGAGATCCGGATCAACTCTTTCAAAATCAATGTCAGAAGAAAAAACAGTACTAGATTGCTGTTGTGAGTCTAAGTTAGGTATGTGAATGGTATCCTTTGGTTCATTGCCATTCCAGATAAGGAACAGATAATCTGTTTGTCGTTTGAAATTTTGATAAATAAGTCAGATTCCTTCTGGGTTATGCAACCTTTCCTTCTCAATTGCCCGGTGGATGAGATGCTTACAAATAAGAAATCAGCTATGTAAAAATAAAGGACAGCTACATATCCAACAATTTAAATCAATTGCATAACGGTTTTCCATATTATTAGCAATTGGCTGTTCAGCAAGTTGATTCCAGGTTTTCTTGAATTCTTCAAACCACTTTGGTGTTATTCGACCATGATATATTTGCTAATAACGAGTGGTTTGATCAGGTAAAACTCGAGAACAAATAATCCATACCAAATAATCTAATCTTGGCCTGTTAAAAACAATATAGATAACAATGTTTGAGCACTTTCCAATGCGATTCTATCATCATATTCGTTTTTCCAATTGGTATTGTTGCTCGCATTAAATGTGCCCAGAGATGCCAACGTGATATTTTATATCATAAATACCACAGGTATGACTATAATATTACAAGATTATGTTCTACACAAAAACTATATATTTTAAGCACTGCATGTTCTCGAATCTTTGCAGATGTCAAATATTTACCATCTGCATTAATAGGTATTTTTGGGTGCATGTTGAAATGCTTTCTAATGAGATTCATAATATCTTTTTGTAGGTCTAATGGGCAGACTTGGTAATAATCAGGGTCAGAACAATTCAATTCTGGTTTAAACTTTGGGTTAATGAAACTAAATTCAGCAGTGGCTTCTTCAGGCTGATATTGGGTGTATTGTATTTTTTTTTTACTTTTTAATTTTTTATTGATTGCTTGATCAATATGCCATTGGCATAATTGTATATCAGATTGTGGCCATACCTCTTTTGCTGCATTTATTTTAGCAAAATCTTTGTCCATGTAGAAATAGGTCGGATTTAGCCCATGACTCCGAATAGAATTAAAAAAATTGGCGAGAACATTTGTCTTTAAATACTCATGTGACTCTTTTTCTTGAGTATTTGTAGTATTTAATAGCAAATATGCTAAGGGAAAACCTGCGCCATTAATATTACCAATGAAACTATACAATTCAAACCGGCCTTTCGCAGTTTTATAAGTGGTACCACAATGGACTTCTGATATGGATAAAAGAGTACTAAATAGGGGTGTCATAAAGCCTATTGCAGTTATTTTATCAGTTATTAATTTGAAGCAGAGTTTGCAACCTGGAGCACGATTTGATCTAAGAAATATAAGTGCTGAAATGACATGGTCTTCATCTGTTTTGTATGAGTTTTGGGCAAACACTGACTACCAATAATAAATCTGCTTTGCTGTAATATTTAAAATTTCAAATTTATTACGAAGAATTGTATGAATTTGTATTGGATCTAAATGAAGGTTGGTACGGATCTCTTGTTTAATTTCTTCTGGTGTTGAGACATCTTCAGATTTTTCATGAATAATATCATAGCGAAGTTTTAATATAGCTTACATCACAGATACATCGACATGAAGAGTTAATTTACCATGACAATCAAATCGAGCAATTCTTTTTCGATTTGATTGCTTATATTTACGCTCTAATTCATAGCATTGAGAACATGCGAAGTAATATGTGGAAACATTATCAAATCGAACTGAGGTATATGGTGCCGTTGTAGCTGACCAGACATAATCATCGCCCTCTTCAACTTTATCTACTATTATTCTTACAATTGATTTAAGGTCATTAGGCTCAACTTCTGAAAAAATATCATCATTAAGATCGATACGAATTTCAAATGAAATTCCATTATTATTTTCAACATTGGAGATTAAGTTTTCTATATAATCACAAAGGGATTGTGCTGAAATTGTCTCCATAATAGGTTGAGTATTATCAGTATCTAATTTTTTTTGTTTTCGGCTTTATTAATAAGACAATTAGCACAAGTTTTATAAGTTTTTCCTTTAAACATGAAAGATTCTGGCGGATAATAACGAGTACAAGAATTGCATTTATTCATTTTTAGTAGAAGTTAAATGGACGATCTTTGAAAAGTAATAGAATTACAAGTAATTAAAAGCAAGAACGTAATAGTACTAAAGAATGGGCAATAATCAAACCAAGAGATATTTCCTGAGGATTTAATATATTATTACAAAATAGGCACAATAAACTAAAGCTTTCTTATTCAATACATGTAAGCCAAGTTTTCAAAATTATAATTATAGTTTAACATTAATGCGAATGTTAGAAATTAATTGATTATATTTTATTAATAGTTAATAAACTAGTAGCTAAATAGCAGATAATTTTTTCAAAGTTATATTTAATAATAATA